ATCCTGGTGGCAGATAATATTCGACTGGTTGTAATCAAAGGTTTGAACATAGGCGTCCTGAGTATCCGCAGTTGACCACGCAATGAGATCAGGGACGTTTTGTTCATGAGGGTATTGATCAACCAGGAATCCACCATAGGACTTGCCATCAATGTCGATACGATCGATGTGTCCATGAGCCGCGGCCAGACCAGCCGTGCCTAGGATGAGCCATGCAACTTTAGAGAGAGACATTGTTAAGTAAAGAGTGAACTTCAGTCAATTAAGTAAAGCAAACGATATGATATGAAGAATGAGAGAATGAGAGAATGTGTAGTAGAGGATGAGGAAGAGAAAAGAAGATTTTGGGGGAGAAAGAAAGGGACTTTATATGTGCCCAAACACAATGGGTTCTTTGCAGGTAGGCAGCACAATCGAAGCATTAACTTTGCATGTTAACCTGCGATTCCCCACACGATGATTGCCCTCGCTTCTGAATGCATACGAAACATGGGCTGAAGGTCCATGCCATTGAGATTTCTTACCTTGATTCTGCGCTTTTGGCACGTCAGACACCCGGTCTTCGTTCTTTGCTTAACTTCCTTCTCCTGCCTTCCACCAGACATCATCTTGTTTGGGCTCCCGGCAGCTGGTAGTGCATCTGCACGTTCAAATTCATGCCCATTTGGAGACATTTATGGGATATCCAGTGATGATTAGGTTGGTACTCCAGATTCTAACATTGTACATAACATTATATCTCGGTACATTCAGAACATGCAGTAGCCATGGCACGTTGGCAATGTTTTCAGCTGGGCCCCAGTTAGGAACCTCGCTAACCATGTTGCATTGGCTATGGTTTCAGGTCGGGACTAAGCTCGGCAAGCGGTTTACTTTGTAGAATGAATTCAAGGATCCAATGATCCATTGTTTCATGTTTGGATCATATCTCGTATTTCAAAGAAATGCCGATGGGTACTGATTCCTCATAGAAGCTTACAATGGGACATTGTGTGTGCATTGCCCATGCTGAAGGCAAGAGGAGTAATTTTTGATGATCAAGCCTAGCCTAGGTCACGGCTCACTACATGATCAATACTCAATGCAAACAATCATAAAATCCTTTTTCTTCTGGTTTAAGCATACTATTCTGAATGCATATACTCTAATGGTTTTAGTTTCCCGCTGATATGCGTAATATATTAAGTCTTCAATATAATGACTTCATTCATCTGGACCCTGATGATCAGGAGAAAGAACCAGAGTCCGGGGTTTCATATTGATTAACTCGGCTACAATCTCCTACGTGATCTCAGACTCACTTTTCTAGTTGGGTACATACTATTGTCACCATGATTATAAGTTTATAACCCCAGCCGTGCGCTAAAGACTAGCTCTACCTTAAGTCTACTTTGTTCCACTCTGAAATTCCGACTGCTGCAGATATATTATGTACACTGAGCTAGAACAAACTGTGACTTTCTGTACGTATGATGTATCGATAAGAAAAAATAGAATACAGCACATAGTATTTACATAATATTACTAAAGAATACTACCTTAGTATATGATATTTTTAACAGGTGAGCTGCGCACACCACTAACACGCGCACCTCTGCGGCGGCTTAGCTTACTTTGAAGGTTGTCATGGAGCCGCACCAAGACTCTATGAATCTGGATATCCGGGCCTGTAATCTTCGACTAAACATCTTAAGGAGCCGATCTGTTGGAATGGGGCGGGTTATGCATACTGGTTCTGGTTGACCTATCTTGCACGGGGGAATTCCGAGCACTCCCAAGTCGGAAGACAAGATTGGGGAGCCGCCATTTTCTGATAGAAATATACTAGATAGCCCTTGAAAGGGAGTATAATAAGTTTTTCCACGGCTCAATCGCGTTTAAACATTACTTGGGCATGTGGCGAGGGCGGTACAGATATAATCATGTCCAGGGCTCTGCACAGCCACGACGAGAAATGCACGAGTGCCTGGTGTCCGGTGATGAGCTCAGGAGCCGTGTTCGCCTTGCAGATTCAACACAGGTGGCTTGCAAATGGAGGCTGCAATGCGAATTCTGGGGGCCAGGCTTTGAACTGACCTATAGCCCTTCGTAATACTGAGGAAAAGTTTAGGTATATATATCAGGGTCAGCTCTCCTGCAATCCATATCAAAGAACCATAACCTTTACTGCCCTGCAAATATCCACCTTGAGCAGTTTGAGTCTTACATAACTATGTCCTCTGAAAGGTATATATCTAGTCAACTATACTCAGCCTACTGTTTGACGTACCTTAGGACAAGATTTCGCGTTGGGGATAAAGTCTATCTGCTGACCTCTGATGGATCTCGTGATGGCCCTTTCCTCGTGGCATCGGTAGTCTCTGCGCAGGAGTGTATACTCGCGGATGAATATCAGTACACTAAGTCTACCTATGTCTCATAAGCTTTGGTGTCCGCATCGTGTGACTGATCACCACAGGTTCGTGATGTGCAATAGGCCAAACACTCTGCTTTCCGCAACAGTTGCAAGGCTGTAAGAATCTGGGAACCGCAACAACTACCTTGCTTTATTGTTCACACGGACAATTCGATGTTTTCCCTGAAACTAAGGCCCGAAGTCCTCAGCATGCTAGTAAAGTTTCCATGCTCTGTTTCAACAACACCGACTGCTCTGAATCCGAACTTCGAGTATAACCGAATACCAGCAAGTGAGGATGAAACAAAGGCGTCTATTGCATTTCCATCGACATAATCACAAAAAATCTTCATGAGCATAGACCCAACACCTTGACGTTGATAATTCGGATCCACGGCCATGAAAGTGATTCCTAACGGATACAGGTGAGCAAGGCCCGAGAAACTCCAAGTTGACTGATGGCTTACGGCATATTCCATTGCCTTGGTAATTCCGAAGAACTCTTTGCCTCTCTTCTCTGAGCCGTTTTGAGATACCAAGCCACGAAGCCACATCCAAAGTGGGTGGGTTAAAGCTGTGTCGGTTTTTCAGCTTTTTCCCTTGCCTCCTTCTAGATTTAACTACTGGGCCACTGTGAATGCAATCCCCACTATTCGCTCCCTTTTCAAAAGCCCCTGGACAGAAAGTCCAGCCTATCAGCCCGACAGGCGATCCATCTTCTCCACACGCCTTGTACAGAGCTTCGTCCTCTTGATAAACTGTCTCAAGAAGCCCATCAATCGTCCATCTGATTTCGTCTTCTCTCTGCTCCCACTGTCGCTCCTTTGGGTTCGGGAACATCAAGCGATAGAGTAGGTTGTCTTGATGAGCAGGAAATTCGACTTTTCGCACGAGCAAATCCACGTCCTCGGCTTCGACGGGCGATATCGAGTATGCCATTTGTTGGTTGACAAACAAAAATACGATTAAACGCACGATCCGTCAAGTCATTCTGGTCCCGTAAAACGGCCGGGATGCAAAGGAAGAAAGTAAGATGTTTCAGGTATCCTGAACCAACTCTGCATAAGTCGCCTCCAGGAGGGAAGTTGTAAGGTATTTATCCCATTCAGTTGACACAGTGGCACGGAAATAGTTCCTGCGGTTAGTAAGCCGGCTGGCTTGACTTTTGGCTTGCTTAGACGAATCAAATCACTACGTCGCCAAAGTCCCCCTTTCATTCTCCTCCACATTAGACTAGCATCTTGAGTAATATGTAGAGTGATGCTACATTGAACAGGATACTTGAGAATTGAGATCATCGACGAGATTGCCTTTACCAGTAATAATCTAAGGAATATTCGTGGAATGGCGGGTTGTGCACTTTACAGATCTGCTCATCTGAATCTACTATATTAAGGATGTTGAAGGAAAATCGTTAACTTACATATGCAAGTAGAAATACATATGGGGTAGGTTATCAGTGAATTAACTTATGAGTTAAGATACTCTGTAGATCATTAAACGCCTCCAAACCTACTAGCACCTAAATCAGTGAACCCAAATTCTAATATGGCTGTATGTAAAATTCTTACATGGTAAATATTCTGAAAATTATTCAAGACTAGGCAGACATGGATAAGGTGCACATATAGTATCATGGCTAGGGGAAAATTAAAGCTAAGCTACAGCCCTAAGCTTGTTAGCTTGCTAAGCCTCCTCTTATTTCGGTGCTAATAAAAATGGATGTGACTCCTCCCCCGCTGGCATTAGCAGGATAAGATAACCACAGAACTCCATAACTACATAAGTAGAATGTGCTAATAACAGGATAACAAGCAAAAGATTCAGCAATGCCACACCGATCACTCAACATGCTGCTTCTAATGACTATTTCAGATGAAAAAGGCGTGAAATTTCAATCAACTCCAATTTCAGGCCCCACCCCTATACAGTCCGATGAGAGCAATCGGAGCAAACCCACTTCTTTTGATCCCCAACATTCCAACTGGGTCGGAGTCCTCATCCATGACTAATACCATAATCAAGTCGTAATAGAATCACAAATAGGAATAGATGACCTGTCCAATAGAAGCGCGCATAAAAGAACACAGGCTATGCACACTAAGTCATGCAAAGGCTGCTTTACCTGCAAGGGCTGCAAGAGTTGAGGTATATGATTCTACTGGCTCTAGGGACAATGCTAGCACCTTATACAGTGTAATGAAATCAAACCTACATGCGGTGCTTGTGCCTTGAGGTAAAAGCACTATGACTGGCCTGTTAAAATAGGCTCTCACTACACACCTGATCAGTCATAGCCTGACTTGGGTAGACCTGGCCATGCGATCTCTAGTTGAGCTTAATGTTAATCCAAGCACAGCTCTACAGCGGCGGCACATTTAGTCTCAAGGTTGCTACAACTATTACACTTTGATTTCCATGCATTAGGTAGCACCGACCCTGAAACTCAACCCTAGCATTATCATACACCAATTTGGGGCAGCCAACGGACCGACAGAATCTCAGCTTTCGATGCAAAGACTCGATTACGAAGCGTTTCTTGACCCTCTCTGGGAACTGTCTTTTGAAGATAAATTGATTCTGATAAAGAGTGGGTCGACAGAGCTCAGCTAGTTAGTTTTACTTCAACTACTTGACCACTATACGAAACGCCATCAACGGTTCCACCGCGCGTGGTAACATATAACTCTCCCTTCTGGCCGATTTGAACAGAAGTAGGCCCGATGATATCTTTCGTCCCTCCTCCACCTGCAACAACACTCTGTCCGCCATCTAGCTGAATCCTTGCGATAGAATTGTTGGGCTGCGCAACATACGCGACGCCCTCTGTATCCAAGGCAAAGTCATCCCAGTCGTCTTTAGTAGCGCCCATGTTCAGAGTATCGATAAGCTCCACATCACCGAATTCCAGCCCATCCGCACTGATTGGGATTCGTGAGAATGTCCCTCGTGCTGTGTTGGTAAAGTACACGTAGCCTCGAGCAACCTTTAACCCATTGATTCCGATTGGAATGCTTGCATTTGTGGGTGCAGCCAGAGCATCGTCCTTGAAGGCTATTTTAGAGATACCCGTTCTTGTATCGACACGGAATATGCATCCAAGGCGTGAATCTGCGATGAGAACGATATAGGGTTGTGTGGGCAACGAAGCCATGCCGTTGAGCATCACAGCATTGGGGATTCGAGCGGCCGTCCGGACGATAGGCTTGACAGTATCCTGAGTAAAGTCGACAGTATAGAGAGTCTCGTTGGTGTAGCTGTAGCTGCCTCTGATTCCCCCAACAATGGCAAACTTGTCATTGTCAATGGCTGTTATTCCACAGAGAGCGGTGGCCCCAGGGAGAGCGGCGACTAGGTGAGCCTGGTGAGTGCGACCGGAAGGGTCGAGGGTGTAGAGGCGGCCTTGGTCGAAGGTAGTGAGAAGGAGGTGGCCATTCGGGCGAAGAGCGCTGTTTTCGATATCGACGTAGCTCGAGAAATTGAATAGCTGAACTGTGGATTGCGCGAGAGTAGAGCTGGCTAGTAATGCCAGAGTCAGGTAAGGGCTCATGGTCCGGAATTAACGTTGAATGAGATGGATTGAAGATAATGGATATGTATGATCTTTATTTTAAACCCGAAATATCTCGTACGACCTCTTCGCGAGACACTCCGTGATATAAAAGGATTAGTCGTCGGAGATAATAGAGGATCAACAAAAAGCCAAGACGAGGAATCGCTTCTGATGTATAAACAGGGAAATCAGGGCCGAGTTCACCGAAATTATTTCTGTCGATCGCCGTTTCATATTTAGAGCGACGATTTGAACATGTACTCTTGTGACTTCCAAACATGCGTCTTATGCAATTTAACAGCACCGTCATGTCCCATCTATGATGAGGGTTAAACATGTATGGTGATCAGTCAATCCTGTAGCCAATGCGCCACTACTAAATGTGTTCAGACCTCCACTTCCAGCAGCAGCTCCAGCAACTCATCAGACGCAGGCGGTAGCGATGTGGCTATTGCGGGAGGTGTTGTTGTGGGGTCGCTTTCATTGCTATTATGACATTTCTGATCTGATGGTTCTTTGTTCGCAAGAAGCGGAGTGAACATGATCAACAATATGGAGATGCTGCGGAAAAGAGAAGCGCATTCGGAGATGCTACCCCACTGATTCCTGAAGGATTCAACGTGGGAATGGCTGTTAAGCGGCAATGTGGACGCCAACTCTTGCGGCGCCAACAGCAATGTCCGCCTTATTCATGTCAACAGCAAGATTGATGACGATACTGTGGTGTTTTCAAATAGTCCATTCTGACGATGGTGCTTTTCGTCGCCTTGCACTGGCTCGTTTCCCAGGCTATCATTCTCGTCCAGACAACCGTGATACCAGTCCGGGCCGGCAAGCTTGCGCGTCCCCGAAAAGGTTAACTCACGGATTGGCTTTCAGGGATTGGAATCTTTCCGGTTGTTGTGATGTTGATGGTGTTGATTCTGGGGCTCTTAGTTCACTCAGCTGTGAGGAAGTATCAGGACGTCCCTTTTGGGTTTCTGAGATTGGGGACCTGTAGTGCCCGGATCAGTGCTGTATATCATGCGCCAACTGGAGATAGTGATGCGCATCTGTTCCCTGTGAGAACAGGGGTTGTAAGGAAACAGCAAGAGAGAACAACCTGCACCCAGGAATGTTGTTAACCATTTAGATTACAAACCAGGTAGTTAAATTGATTGTATTTCGGTATATGTTGGCATTCGATGTTTCGCTATCCGCAGTCTATTCAAATAGTCAGGGTTTGGCATGATTGACCCGCGATGGTGTGTGTGTATCAGTCAGCAATACCTCCTCCAGTAATAGTAATCAGTGAAGGTTAATGGACATAGTTATATCATTCCATCGGGCCCTTTATCCAGTGGCTGTAACTTTAATTAGGGTTCTGCAATCTTCCCGAAACCCTAAACCCTAACACCATTGCGACCTGCCGCAAGGGAAAGATAATCAACCGTCAAGGACAGCAGCACGCACTAAAAGAAGATGGCAAACGACTAATGTGGAGGATGAAGCAGACTAGTCTACCACCAGCGTGCATGGGTTTGAAAGCTCTACAGACCCTTTAGTTATGAATCCCGCTTGGGTGCAACTGCGACAATAGAATGTCCTGCGTAGAGGATGTCCCATTGGTTGAGATTAATATTACTGTTGCGCCTCATCTGGATACCTGGGCTTTCCTAGTGTTCCACATTACAATTGCTAGCTTGGGTATCTTGCGAGAGCGCTGTGAGGCTTCTGTGTGGCTCAGCTGATGGAGTGGTGTAGGGTTCTTGGCCCCGCGGTAGGTATCGCATAAAAGAGAGTATCATGGAGTAGATTGACTGATAAAATGAATGAAAACCAGAAATACAAATCTAAGCATCAACAAGGATGGGGGTTGGGTATCCTTTGCAGCACACACTAAGAGCTCAGTTGCCGTGTCTGGAGTTATCTATATCGGATGAGGGAAGCAAGGATTCACTTGCTGGAATATTAGGGAGGGATATCATTGCATATCTCTATAACATCACCTTACTCCCCATATTTGGTAGACAAACGCAGATGAAGCGTTCTCAGACTGTATTTACCTTGCCCTTAACCAAACCTAGCAAGTGTTACTAGGTCTTCTGGACAGAGGAGGGTTACATGTCTCTATATAGTGGATATTAGGACTTTTGTGTTTTGTCCTTGTGAAATATCTCCTATCTCAGCAGCCGTCTTCTATACCTATTCAAATCATTTCACTATTTTCCAGGGTGCTATAGATGTCGCACGCGGTATAAACACTGATAGAACCTAAACCTCTATATTATTGCGCCACAATATTAGTTTTGAGTTGTTCTCGGACACTCAGCTCGTTTGCTTTCGATATACAGGATGTTTCCGGATTTGATGTTACTTCATGTCCTCAGACAACCATATGGACGAAGGAAATGAACCCCTGGGGAGTTGAGTCCGGCTCAATCTCAACGCACGAGATTATCATTACCCCTCTTATTGCCTGCAGGAGTATAGGTTCAAAGTGGTCTCCCTCGTTAGGATGAGCACCATTTTCTAACATCCGATTCGCTCGTTCTTGGTCGGTGAAGCCTATACTCCAATGAAGCGATGCTCGATTACCTTCAAACGCCTCTTTGCCTGGACGAGTCGACAGACTCTGAAGAATCCTCTGGGTACTGGGGGCTGTACTTCCTGCGACATCATCAGACTGGGGCCTATCGTTATTTCTTACCATACTTGAGCGTCTGACTGATGACCCTCTGCGTTCTCAGCCGTCCAGAACCTCTCAGTCGTCTGAATGTACCGTCCTGGTACCTGAGCGACGATGCAGTCCTACGGAGAGGCGCACGCTTTCCAGTTGCCCTTGGTGGTTGGCTATCCGTCACCTTATAGCAGCAGCTGATACTGGGAGTCCCGATCAACTGAGGAAGAGATTAAGGTTTGATCGATACGAACAGTTTGGCCATTGAGGGTCCTTGGAGGTCCAGCTGAAAATGCGAGTTTCTGCCGCGGCAGCCGTGTGATTTGCTCTGTTAGGCGTGAAGAAAAGAAACCATACATCCAGTTATTCGAGGCAATACAACCCGACGTGTGCAATTAAATTCATGGCTACTTCGGATATTTGCTTACTTGTTACTGGACAACCGTGCCAAACCTCGTCGAAGAGTTCGACCTGTCGACAAAATTGCACCTGCGGACCTGGATATAGGCCTCTGGCTGAAGTTTGACATGCCCAGAAAATGGTCAGATATGCGATTCTCAGGCAGCCACATGTTGATGACAGGTTTTCTGTTCCTTTGTCTTACCCACAGGTAGTCGATTATGAGGAGTGCTGGTACGGCTTACAACAAGGTCAGAGGATGACTTCCACAATATAAAAGCGCTCAAACTTCACCTCCAGATCGTCACCTGGACCAAAGCACAGCGAGGCCTTCAATCCGAAGTTTAAAACTCACATTTGAATTTCCAATAGTTAGTGCTCTTATAATCGGAATTGGACGATATTAGCTACTTTTCTTTGAACCATGGCGGCCACGGTCCTTGATCTCGAAAACTGGATGAAGTACCTGGATCCCAGCACCCCTGTGATCGATTCCTACATCGCCTGCAGCCACGATGCGTCGGCCTATAGATTCGAAGGAGGCGACAATGGATTACATGAGTTTGTTGGCAGTATCTGCCAAATCTCGGATTACACCGGCCAGCTCCGGGCCGGGTCTCGGTGGTTTGATATGCGGATCACCCGCGACGGGAGTACCCTGGTCATGAAGCATGGTTCCATCTCGTTCCAACCCTTCGAGACAGTCCTTCGTCAAATCAGGGGCTTCGCTGACTCCCATAAATCCGAGTTTCTTTTCCTCGACCTCGACCTCGACCATGGTGATGGGATCGCAGGTGACGTTCTGGCCATGTTGATCAACGTCCTAGGAGACGGCAAAGAAGATGCATTTGCAACCGCGCACGTCGGCCCTGACGGCAAAATGTACAACACGGATCTCACCTGGGCCAAGCTCCGGCAGGACGGGAAGCAATACATTATCATCTGGGGCGAAGACCAGAAGGTCGACGGTGAGATGAAATACTACGACAGCGGCAAGCTCTGGGCTCCACAAGCCAGAAACATTCGTGATAACTGGGTGGATGACTACGAAAATAAATCGCCAGAGGAGATTGTGGCTTGGCTCGACGAGGCGCTGGGTCTGTGGAAGAAGGAGAGGCTTTGGATAACCCAGCTCATCAACACACCGAAACGGTCCTACTTGCCTGGTCATCACCCCAGTGACTGCGATCAGAGAGCAGCGCCGATCTTCAATAAATGGCTCACCAAATTCAAACCCGGTGATAAGTTGGGTATCGTCAAGCGCGACTTTGTCAATGAAGGATGGAATGAAGCCGGCATCTCCTACGTTATCCGTTTGAATAAATTTGCTCAGAGCCCTGAGATCCCTCTGGGTCCAACCATCAACTATTTGAGCTATATTCGGCTCAGGGCACCGGATGGGCGTTACCTCGCCGTGGACACCAAGCCACCAGGCAACACAAATCTCAGCCTAGTGACCCTGGTGAACGGGCGAGCGGATAATACTCGTTTTCTGATCCGGGAGTATCGGAAGGATTCAACCTGGGAATGGCCGTTCACCGGCAATCTGAACGCCGACTCTTGCGGCGCCAACGGCAATGTCCGCCTTGTTCATGTCGACAGCAAGTTTGGCGACGATACTGTGGTGTCCTGCGCGAAGAATTCCGGAGGATTTATGTACTGGGGTGTAGGCTGGGGTCCAGCAGATGACTGGGAGACGTTCCTTCCATACAATCCTTCCAACCCCGAAAGCAGCTTTGCGATCCACGAAGGCAGTACTATTGTCCTTCGCACTCTGTGGCACATGTACTGGAAGGCTGGCCAAGATGAAAATGACTATACGAGACTCTATGCAAGCACCGGAGCCATCGAAGATGCCACGCGGTTTGTGGTCGAGAAGGCATGAAGATTGGAAGCAGATGCCAACCGTTTAAGCGCAGTGCGATATGTCTGAGTTTGGAGTCTTTCTTTTATGCCGTCTCCATATTCAGTTGAGATTCTTGACCAAGTATTTACTCTTATGCTCCTAATTCAACCACGCCATGCTCTTCTTCCTTTATCTATATTAAGCTTCTCCTTCCTACGTGCTTTGTAGACAGGTTCTTGTTTACCACGATAATGTAGTTGGAAATCCTCCAGTAGATGCCGAACAGTTTTTAAGCCTCGAACGAGGCCTTGAACCTGAAAGAGACAATGTGCAGATAAATTGCAGACGAAGGTATACTGAGTCCGCGTGCAGGGTGTATCCGTATAACTGATGGTCATGACCCTGACCAGTTCCATCCATGACCAATATGACCCTGTTCAACAACCTACTCTTTCCCTTCAATGCGAACGGTGGTCGTACCCTTGTCGCCTGATGCTATTATGGCCTTCTCCTTCAAGTCTGCAGCGGCAACTTGACCGACATCTACGGTGTCCTCGCCGTCAAAGTACTTCGCAATTTCCTCCATAGCGGTGTATCGGGTTTCAATGAGGAAGCAGTAAATCACGACCACTTCGAATCCCAAAAACACACAGTACACAATGTAGTACTTCCAAGCCAAGGCGTCAAGGGCGATGGCATTGATGTACTGATTGAAGAAGAGAGCAGCGGTAACGCAAAAGTTGAGCCAGGTGAAGCCCTTGGCACGGAGGCCGTAAGGGAGGATCTCCGTTGTATAATTCGCCATAAGGCCGGACCTATCCATTCGTCAATGAGGGTGCAGAGGATGCCAGAAGCGTACTCACTTGATATCATAGAAGACCCCATACAGGAATGTGAGGAACACAAACGCATAGCCGAGAGCTTTGTTTGGTGCAATCTCATACCGCGCTGATACAATGGTCCAGGCGTTGAAGACGACCAATGTACCAATTGTCGAGACCAGATAAACAGGTCGTCGTCCGAGAATGTCGATGAAAAAAGCAAAGACAAAATTGGTGACCAAGCCTTCGGTTTTCATGCCTGCATTGATACCCAGCTGAGTCTGCGCGTCTTTGATACCGACGCTATCCATGACATATTTGAGGTAGTAAGAGATAAGACCATTCCCATTCCATTGACTGAAGAGACCAAAAGCCGTAATCAAAGCGATCCGCTTGCGATTTCCCTTGGACCTCAAAAGTCTGCCCAGCCAGTGTGGCCAATTTCCTTGTCCAGAGCGATAGCTGCTTTGATTTCCGAGTACTCAAGCTGCACAAACTCGTCATTGTGATCACCCTCGGCATGATACTTCACCAGGATCTCCAGAGCCTCTTCGTGTCGTCCTTTGTTCATCAGCCAACGCGGGCTCTCGGGCATCCACCAAATGCCGGCAATGATGACTATGGTGCAGATGGCTTGTAGTAAGCTCGGCAACCGCCATGACCAGTCACTCTATGAGAGTGTTCCATTAGCATATAAGATCCGTATCCCAAACCATCGCGCAAAACTTACCGAGATCTGTAGAGTTCCAAGAGTCACCCAGCTGGCTATGAATGCTCCCCGAATGATACGACGCTCCGCTGGAGTGACAAGGATGGCCCGATCTTGGGGATGAGCGATCTCGGCAATCAAAAGAGGCGCGCTTCCCAGAACGATACAGTCTCCAAAGCCCAGGATAATGCGGGCAGCGACAAACATGCCGAAATTCCTGGCACCGGACTGCAGGCCGACTGCGAGCAACATAATCAGACAACCAATGACCAACCCGATCTTTCGGCCTGCCCAGTCGATCAGGTATGGGACGATGAACAGACCGATTAAAGAGCCGAGACTCATAGAGGCATTGAAGAGTCCGAGGATGGAGCCACGGGGATGGTTGAAGTAATTCTGCCAATATGACAGGGTCTGAAGTCCATTCATCATCGAGCCATCGAAGCCATTTGCCGTATTGGTGAGAATCAGGATGACAATGAAAATGTAAAGTGTGCGCATGTTCCGTCGCTTCCACCAGGGAAGTCGAGCAAACTCCCTGCCTGCAAAAAAGAAATGTCCTTTTGGAGGCTTTACGGGGAGCACCCTTTGATTCTGCTTTGGGGGTCGAAGTCGGAAGCCCATGTTGGAGGATTGAGATGGCAAATTAGTTGTTCACTCGATAGGCAGTCATACGGTATGAAAGAAGAATGGCCCGACTCAACAAGCCTGGGCATGGCCTCTTGTATAGCATCGGGAGCATCATATAACGGCTTTGTTCAGAATACCATCAATTGGCCGGTTATACAGCTAGGTACATTCAGCCGGGATCAACCCCGCATTTTGGAGATCAACCATATCCTGATACCCACGGGGAATTAGACAGCAATCTAGATGAATTATTATCAGAGAAAGATGGACAGGATTCTGTTGGCAATACGAAGTAGCTCCTGGGATCTCCACCGGAAGAATACTCCGTCCAGCTTGAATGGGAGATAGCCGGCAAGTGAAAAGCGCTCCTTGAGCCGATGCCCAGAGCCTAAGGATCTCCAAGAGACGCCAATACAATGAACTTCCATAAAGGTTTCTGGGCAGACAGTTAACAGGACGGTCCAACCAACCAGTTGTTCCCTGAGAATAGGCTGAATTCGCATTGTCTCATTTTGATCCTTGCGACTGTTCGAAAAGCCTGGCATGCAACCAAAGCCAGTGCCATGCTCCAGAGCGCAAAAATAACGAAGACATAGGTGGACGTGACTCTGGGATTTGCCTGGGATAAATTGATGTATTCAACTCATAGGCTAATTGAGGTCTTGATATACAGTCGCCATATCATCTAGCAAATAGTGAGATTCCTAAACTGAACCGCAGTATCTGTTGCCTCTGCCACCGCAAAGACGCCAATTACCGGGCCTGTAAAATCGGGGCCGGTTAGATCCAGAGTGTCAATCGTCGATACGCACGTCCAATTCGGCTGAGCAGCGTCTGCAACGGTGTAAAACAGCCGATACTCCTGCTCCGTATATTGCATTCGAAACGCAATTGACTTGGGTCGATCAAGTGTCTGCCGCTCCTGTCGATAAATCTCCTTTGGCCTGTTGATTACCTCAACAACGATAGCAAGCTCTGCGGCGTCATAGTATATTCGGAGGAAGCGATTCTCGTCCTTGTAGCAGGCCATTCCTCTCCACAGTACTACACCCGTCTAATTGACGCTGTCTCTTACCGATAAAGCTAGGACTGAGCTCAGGATGTGACAGATCGGCGGTTGAGGCAGTCAGCGTCAGATGGTCAAGAGTACTGCTGGACAGGGTGTAATTGCTTGGATCGGCATCGCGAATGTAGACGTAATCGATGGCGGGGTCGGCAATGAGCGTTTTCTCCTCGTCGCTGCCTAGAAGGCCACTAGGCGTTAGTTTGACCTGCTCAAGGGAGAGCCAGTCTCCATCCCAGCTCCCTCGAGTCAGAAACGTTTCCCGGCCCATGATATAGCGACCATTCCTATCCTTCCGCACGCCAAGACAGGTACACCACCATTGGCCCCTGTCGTCCCGAAAAACATCGTAGTGACCGGTGTACTGGATATAGTCATCGGTGGTTCGTGCTGTAAGTATCGGATTGTGGGGACACCCTTCGTGTGGACCCCAGAGGTTTGTTGATCGCGCCATGGTCACCATATGCCCTTCATGAGTTCCCCCTTCTGCGATGACCAGATAATAATAACCTTTCCGCTTATACAGGTGTGGGCCCTCGGGGTAGATACCTCCGGTACCGCGCCATATCGTTCTCTCCTCTGAGAGCTTTCCGCCGGAGCTGAGATCGAGCTCGAACATGTTGATCGGGGTGGAAGGGCCGGCTGCGGCGGATCCCTGAATGTATGTTTTGCCGTCGTCATCAAAGAAGACGCTGGGGTCGATACCATCGAATTCGAAATAGACTGGATCGCTCCAGTTGTCGGCCCAGATATCCTTGGTTGAAATGATGAGTTCTGCCTGGAGTCGCCGGTGGCTGTACGAACGACATTGGTGCATATGACATAAAAGGTGCCGTCATCGTATCGGATCGTGGGCGCATATAAGCCCCCGGTGGCCACAAGGACTTCACCGATCTCGGGCAATGGGTGTAATTCCATCTTCGATTTGGACAGACTAAGTTGAGATTGGCGATTAATAGCATTTCCTGGTGTTGCATTAGTTTTGCACTGGTTATTCCATGCCTGTAAGGACACAAACCTATATGTCGCCAGGAAATGAGGTCCTGGGAGGCATAGATGGGCAGACCAGGACATAGATGGAAGCTGGAGTTGATGAGAAAAAACCATCCGTCTACTTTGACGACGGACGGATCTGGTGCGAAACCCGGTATGATGGGATTGATTGGCGACATGACAATCTAAAACAGTACTGGGAAAGGACATGAAACCTATAGCAGAAACCAAAGTGATGGGTAACAGGACCATTTATTATATAGGCGGGGTCCGGCTAAAGTCATTCGAGTCGCCCTGTAGAATTCAGCTTACAGCCAGAATGACATAAGTACTTGCGCTGTTTCTCTGTAAGGAGTCTCATGCAAGTTATTCTCGTCTGTTTTTACTTTAACCAGGCTTCCTCCTACCGCTTCCACATCGCTATCTTTGATATCGACAACATGTCACTCAATGTGTGCATGCATCTCCTGTCCGGTGATTGACACATAACATCCTTCAACTCGTCAAGGCTCAGGATGTCCGGATCAATAGTCACGAGATAGGCCTGCAGTTGCTTCAAAAGGTCTTTATTCCTGCAACCAATGATCATGCAGTTGGTTGATATCGCTTGCTTGTCTTAGATGGCCATGGAAGTCATTAAACGCCCCAATTTGATAATATCTGTGAAGAGAATGGTATTATCCCAATCTGCATGTTTGCTTATTTATCTCATCTATTGCAACCTTTAGACATTGGGTGTTTTGGTCCTCTGAAGCGTGCATATAGTGGTTTAATTGAAGCGCGGTCTCAATTAGCCGTCCGCTATATTGAGAATTTGGATTTTTAAAAGGCCAATCCCAGCGCCTACAGCAGCGCTTTCACCTCTTGGAATATTTAAAATGGCTCTGCAACAGCTGGAATAGTCCCTTTTAATCCGCAATATATAACAACACTCTTGCAGGTCCACAGACACGTCGGATGACCAGGCAACTACGTTAGGGACACTATGACTAATGTACTGCTAGGCAACGATCAGCCACAGTCACAGTACTGTAGTATCTGATGATCTGACAAGATCGGCTGCTGAAGATCAACGAACTTTTTGAAACCACCACCCATCTCAGTGTACAGCAGAACCTCGGGATCTTTCAGCATGGCTTCTGAAATTGTGAACTCCGCATGGAAAGTGATTCCCATGTTCGAGTCCCGTTCGATTCCTCTCACGGTCGAATTCTACACCAAGACGCTGGGATTTGAGCTTGCAAGCGTCAAACCCGAGGACAATGAATCTGAGCTATATTTCTGCTCCATGTTCATTGGCAAGAAGGCGGATGCGAACTTTTATTTCTCGAAAGTGGCCCCTGAACAATTCAAGTCATCTCACGCGATGATCGGTCTGGGGACTCGCGAGCTAGACGATTACTACGTCTATTTAAAAAGTCAAAGCGGAGTGGAATTTTCCGAGGACATCGAAGACAAGCCTTGGGGCTTCCGACAATTTACAATCAAGGACACCGACGGAAATCTGCTCACGTTTTTCAAATTTCTGGAAGGGGGAAACCCAGGCGACGAATAATTCTGGAGCTAGATGAGGACCAGGCTACGTACGTATTTCCCTCTATTGCTGGGCTTGCTATGTTCTAAATACCTCAAAGGCACCCAAAGGCGATGTCTCGGCCAAAGAACTAGTCGGCCGCATCAAAGCCTACCATTCTAGGGCTCTTTAATTGCCTGAAAGTTCTTGATCTGGTAGGAAGCCACTGGGGATTATGTTCACTATTCAGAATGGAATATATGTTTTGAAATTTCCCATTTTTCATAGTAAGCACGAATTTTGGCCCTGGCTACCCCTCGCGGTGCTGAGGGAGCTATTCAATAAACGATTTGAGAAGATATCATCGGTTCAACCTCTAGAAATACGAGAGAGGAAGATACCATCGTGAGTATACGCTGGTGGTATCTGATAGTGTTGGCCCCGTTGAAATGTAGACACTTGCACTGGTATCACACCTAGTGGCGACGAATCAGTATTATACGGTCACCTAATGAGTTCGCATGAGGATTAGTGCCATGTTGTTAACCCTGTCTCCGACGACAGGCCAAGCCAAAATCCACACAAACGGCCACCGATAGGATGAGCCGAATTCCTCTTCTGACTGTCAGCATGCAATGCAATTTCAGAGAAAAGACCGAGGAGTCTACCTACAGACAGGCACAAGCGACCCAGACTGCGTTCCACGCCGCCCACTCATTTGCCTCGTCCACCGCAGGAGGGGGCTCATAATGGAAAGAGGACGAGTATCAATTAAGAAACGCAGCTGGGACCAGAAGAAAAAGGCCAATGAGATCCAGGGTTAGTTGTCCTCCGCCAGACAAGCGTGAGATAGAGCGGTTCCTGTTAAGCAGGACCCCAACTTCTAGCGCATCAGCGAAGAGAGCCCAGCCAGCCTAGTGAAAGTTGTTAGATTCGTGCTTGTGGTAGGGGTAGGAAGGATGAGTACAGACGGCCGCATAAGCTGCTGGGTATGTTGTATGGTACATCTCAGTCAAACGAGCAAGAAAGACGAGGAAGACAATATTGATGAGAATGCCTGCTGTGCGCAATACCATGTGCACGACGGCTGATGGAGAAGGATATCTTGGTCGTTGCGGCATTTCTTTGGTGTTTTGGTGTGTCTTGCAAGACATCCCCTTTTCGACTCGGGGTTTCCGCTAGATATACACGAAAAAAGCTAGGTAGATATTAAGATCCTATTCCTGGGGAATAAATGACAATACTCCCTTGGCACCCTTGGCGGTCGTGTCCGAACGGCGACCCTGGTCTACTCGGATACGCGATGTAACCGAGGCCTAGATATAGCTTCTTTCCAACAGTTCGCTTCGAGACTAGGACTTTCAATTGGAGATGGTGTCAAATTAACTGATTAAGTTGCATGGATTGTATGCAGGGACTAATGACCATGCATTGGGTCCCCCAAAAGACGGGGCCTACCCGCCGTTCACACTTCGCCAGTGGAACGAGGTCTTCGATATCTTCGCAAAGCTCAACAACAAGTGCCCACACCTGGATGGCGACCTCACAGACATGACAATGAATGAACTGAAGGGGTGTGTTCTGGTTATCGTTGACAGCAAGGCAGGCCGACAGATCGACGGCATCTACCTGGCCGACCCTCACTTCTCCCGCCATGATGGATACTCTTTCACCAGCGAGCCCGGGACCATGAATAGGGAACAGATTGCTGATATGCGAAAAGGCCGCAACATCCGTGAAGGGAGCGGCAAGGAGCAGTTCTGGGTTCTGTCCTGGACGCTTACTCCTGATTTTGGTACAATGTCAAGTATGTCGACGAGGGGACTGGCGACATCATACAGTTATGACTCCATCTTTTGGAACGCATACTATGAGTTCACGCCCTTTTCGTTCCCCAACGTACTCTATATGGACGCTATAGGATTTGCAGAAGGGATTGCGTCTAAGGGGCAGGATGATCTATGGAAGGCAAGCAACGGCGAATTGACTGCTATGGCCATGGCTGTGAACCTAGCCATTGTGAGCAAGAATTGTTATGTGGGCGGGGGATCAATTTGGCCAGGGGAGGGTTTGTCTCATTAGTATCACTTCTTGATCTCTGAACCATAGCTGTAATATGTGACAATAATATAGACCGCTCGAGTCCCGTCGGCGATTGCCCGTATGACACTCTCGGAGCCACATCCTCATTCACCGATAATATGCTCAACTTCGTTTTCAAGCCTCAAAATGAAGACTAATAGGTGTATTAGGTATAACAATTTGTAGTTGGTGGAAAAAGCTAAGCCTTTTCATGACACCGGGTTGCTGTTCTTTGTCCCAGTCATCAAGGCTGCAAACGTGCAGCGCTTATTTGGGAGTTCTAGATCCCAGCCTTGGCGCCTCTAGTGTAGAATTCTTGAGCTGTTGATCATGCTTCAGCTCATCTCTATTCACATTACTAGAGAGATAAGGCAGTCTGCTTTCTTCTTGCCTTCTGTTGCCTCCACCTCTGTTTAAAGTTGCCTCATCAGCTCGTCCCTCAGAGACTGAGGAATTGGCTGTACATTCAGAACCTAGAATCTGGTTCTCTTTTACAGTGAGTCGCAAGCAACATCCATTATATTAATATTGGTGCATCCTTTCAGCGCCTCTAATCACATCAAGATGCATTTTACACAGTTCAAGTCACTACTCCGTGAGTTACAGAGTGAAAAAGGAACACTAGTCACTATCTACTCATACAATTATAGCCAGCACAATTTCAATATATACTCACAAAGTGCCCCAGAGCGCGGTCCAATATACCGTTTATACAACCACTGTCTTGTCGCTTTCTTCCACTATACCGTTGGGGCTACAGGCTCATCAGCACATTCGACTTGAATAATTTGATGCTCAATTTCCCTGTCGGAAGCCGTAATCACAAGCGCGCTTAAACGATGGCCGTATAAACACGCTGAATCCAGTCCGATCGTATACCTGCCCAGTTGCAAGCGACGCTTTGCATCGTGACCAAATATCACAGTGGTCTTGGATTCTAGCTTCTCTTGCCATCGGTCCCATTGCATAGCCCAGCCTTCTTCCCCGGGAGTTTCAGCAGGAGCGAATTCGCTCTCGTCACCCGGTGTGCGGTCGAGAGACCGCAAATGCATGATAGCGTGTGGATCCTGCGCTTCAAGTGGGATACCAGGAACGAGGCCCGCATGTACAACAATTAAAGTATCGCCGAAGGAGGATGTCAAGTTAGGAGGTAGCTTGACGCGCAAGATCAACGGCAAAGCGGCAAGCCAGTCGAGATGGCGGGTTGAAAGTGCCAATGCTGTAGTATACGTTGCTGCGCTATGTTTCATACCAGCGCTGGTTGTAGTAGATGCGTCTTCGTCAGGGATCTCAAAATCTTGGACAGTATCCGCAGGCACGTCGGCTTCAGGACTTTCTGGTAGGGCCCGACTGCCCGTCAAGCCTCCAGATTGTAGTAGACTGTCCCTTGTGGCTTTGATCTCCGCGGCCGCATTAAGAACTGCATTGTCATGGTTGCCTCTCACTGCGCTGGCGCCCAGCTTGATAGCCAGATCGACAACACCAGGGTTATCGGGCCCTTTATTGACTAGATCGCCAGCTAGTATTAGATGATCCCCTTTGCATTTGTCGAAGCCAACTTTGTCTAGGAGAGCCTCCAGGGACTTTCTCATCCCATGCACATCGCCTACAATGACCAAGCGTCTGCTGGCAGGGCCATTTTCGGAAGATGATGGGACCGACGGCGGAACGAGACTGATCGGTAGCTCCGAAATAAATGTTGTGATTGGAAATATCTCGTCGTCGGCTTTTGTAGGGGTCATTTTTTCAGCACGATTTCGGAAGTATGAAGGAGTAGTCCTGGTCCCATGGTTCAGGCCCGGGCTTGAGAGATGTGAGCAGTGAGCTCACTCGTCAGGCAGCAGGCTTCACTTCACAGCTCTAGAGGCAGTGAGCGAATGACATGTACGGCGGACTATAGTCTATAGCTACGAGCCTATGATGTGGACTTTTGGTCTTTTTATAAAGTAGGGATATCGATCCCATAATATCAAATGAGAAAGAACCATCCGCCTACTTCCACGACAGATGGATCCGGTGCGAAACCCGCTATGGTGATGTAAAAATTAAAACAGTGCTGGGGAAAGACAAGAGACCTATATCAGAAACCAAAGTCATGAGTGACCAGGACCATTATTATTGACAGTAGACTATGCATGTTACAGGCGGGCTCCGGCTAAAGTCCTTAGTAGCCCCGCAGAATTCAGCTTGTAGCCATAACGACATGAATATTTGCGACGTTTCCCTGCAAGGAGCCTATTTCCATCTGTTTTGGTGACGTCAACCAAGCTCCTCCTACCACTTCCACAGCAGCTTCTTTGATGCCAATCAGCATGTCTTTCAATGTCTGCATGCGTCTCCCGTCCGGTGTTGGACACATAATGGCCTTCAACTCATCAAGGCCCAAGACGTCTGCATCAGTGTCCATGTATACTTTCTTAAAGTTTCTCTCTTTCAGCAGGATGACCAGACTTTTGCCTCGCATATTCTCCAGTTCCTGGCATCCTATGATCACAATCCTTTGCGACGTGATACACACGCTCTCCAGTGGGTCAAGGTTGCGTACGCCGATCAGAAACACATGGTCCAATTGCAGCGGTCTCGACAAGGTCGTAGCCACGAAATTTCCTGGTGAGTCTCGTACCCCGATGGTAGCAGGCGAGAATTGGTTATCTTTTCGACCATTCCAACAGGTCTCGGAGCACCACGTATATATCTCATGCTTTGGTCGGCGAGGTAGATGGGTGTTCAGATCCGCATGCGCATTGATCAACAGGACTGCCGTCTCCTGGCCGTACATGGACGAGCATCGAGGCCGAGAGTGCCGTAGTTGCGAATCAGGTGATTGTCGTTGTCCTCTGAACCATCTGTGCTTGCTGCGACACTTTGTCAAGGACGCACACTAATATAGTAAAAGTCTTTTGCGGAAATTCTTGGATCATCCACCGCGAGCGGAAAACAGATTGAGAGCTGTGGTAGATCTTGTCGTCATCTCCAGAGCCTTCCCACTGGGGTAATGAAGTACAAGGAGTGAGCTGCTCATTTTTCAAGAGGCTTCTTGTTGCAAGATGAATGGGAACGTGGATGGCATAGCACCTTTTATTTTTGTAACGGTCGGCAAGGGGTGACTCGTTTCCATTACACTTCCATTGCCTTCGATCATCGATGAGACATACGAGTTGGCGTCAACCATACCTCTGGACCTTGCCTTTGTGGACGGATATCGCAAAGTCATCATACTGTCGCCTTCTTTGTCTGACAACCTTATCTCTCGCAGTTTTGCGGCGGTTGCGCGCCATCATGTGCTACCGAGTCGGTGACAGGTTCAATCGAAACACGATGGCCGGAATGTGCACTCGGCGACGTGAGCCTGGCGGAGTCGTTCGTCCATCCGTGGGGATTGATTCTCTTGGCGGACATGGGCACTTTGTTTCAGGTGGCGAGCGCGGTCAATTGGTGGTCTTGGGTCTTTAAGCATCGTTTAAAACAAAACGCCAGCACGAGGGGTCGATTCGAAGGGAAGTTGAAACCGCTCCACATGTTGTTTCTTGATTGACAATCGATCTGGATTCAGCCTGCTTACTTCTATGCTTTGGATACGAACGCTTGCGCTGAATGCTTCCGGTAGCCATGATAGGATCGATGATTTTCGGAAAATGTGCCAGCACCAGGGAGATTGGATGAACCGGCTCGCACTCGGGCTGCTGAAGAGACCATGCGTTGAGGGGTAATCTCAATATCAAGCACCTAGTGACGAACCAAGAGAATATAAATCATTAGACAGAGCCCGAAGAAGTTTGGAACACATATACTGGGTAGGTGAAAACAAACCAAGCTACTCAACCCAGGCCCTTGCTAGCAATAGACCATGCAAACCGGGAATGCGTGTGACCATTCTCTTTCGCTGTATCAGCCCAACCCGGAGCGTTTTTCCTTTTTTTTTTTTTCCTTGCGGTCGGGCAATGTAGTCAAAGCTCATCAGAATTTGGTACTGTCAGAGCTGGAGGTCAATGGCTGTTGAGAGCGAAATCACACAATCCACATTTTTTCCCTCGGTGGTCTTTTCATGACGAGAAATCAAGTAACCGACAAGCTTACTCGCGTTGGCAGGGTTTCGTCTTGAGATACCATACAGTTCCTAGATACAACGCATCTCGCAGTGATTGAAGAGACGTCGTTCAGGTTTGGCTGGTTCCTGGGCTCGGGACGGCCCCGGAGAATATAAGGAAGCCATGACATGAATGGCTTTGTTGTTGAAGAACGATTGAGCGTTCATGTTGTTCTGAAAAAAAGGAGAAGATTGACACGTAAGGGCTGAGCACAGGAAATGCTCGATGCATCCTTGGATGGTGAAAGATAGATGGAAACACCTCGGGATGACATGTTCAATAGCCGGAGTATCAGACCTTGCAGCAGATTGAATTGAATGAGCCAGCATTTTGTCAGGCCGTGGAGCAAAGTGCAAAACACGAGGGTCGTTCAGCTTTGCTTGCGAATATCATGTCTCGTGTGATATTACATAGAACATAAGAGGCCGTAGTCTTCCGCGGAAAGGTCCGACATATTGGTCTTGATTGAGAATCGGCGCCATAGACTCAAGAGAGACGTGGCACGATGGGTTTCCCGAATGGTTTGGTTGATCAGAGTCCCACGGAAACAAGTCAGGCTGCATGTAGATGAGTGACTTCTCGACACGGGATGGAGTAGCTTTGAACACGTCGAGTCTTGGGACCTCAGACATGATGGAGTAAATATGACACGGATGGTTGACAATGCGAAACCACGGGTCTCATGAATGAAAAGAGACATGATAGAATGACTTGCCCAACGGTTCTGGCTGGATGTAGTCTCCTGGAATTGAGCGTGGATGGCAGAGTCGGTGAGCGCCGAATGTACGTGGGCGCTTTGTAGAGATGGAATAGCCTTGCACCACGTCGAACGATGGAATCACCGACATGATGAAAGTAATATGACACAAAATTTGATCGAGCTGTATTGAGTCTCGGATGAGTGGAGGTGGTCCGCAAGTAGGTTATTGAGTTCTCGGTAAGGCTTATAGAGCCTTGCGACCTCGAGTTGTCGAGGACTTCAGACACAATGGAAGAGATATGACACGAGTGATTGGCAATGAAAAGCCAGGTCTCACGAATGTGATAAGCATTGAGAAATGTGAGACTGCAAGCCTGGGTAAGAGCAGAGGCATGGCTTGGTTGGAATTGGGTTCATATTGGGTCGTTCACGTTGGTTTCGCCTTTCGCAGAAGTGGATTTGTCGCTGGAAAGCTTCAGCGAGGAGGAGGATAAAGCGAAAGGTTACTGATCCCCGACACCGTAGCGTGTAGACGCACATGGGTGTGAACAAGTCGGGGTCCCCGAAGGGGATGGAGGAATCCGTCATAGCGGCAGACCTAACCGGGTGAAGGAGCCGTCCTAAAGTCGGGCCTCGAGACTTCAACAGGGTCAAACGGTCATCGAATGGCGAGATTTCCCCATGTCAATAGCTGTGTCAAGGCTAGAGTTTGGTAACGCGGTTTGCTTTCCGCTAGACGGTGGTAGGTCCTTTGGGTGTGTCAGGCCACAAAGGGCGACTCCCAAACTCCACGGATGGAGTGAGCCCCTACCGGGTTCCGGTATTTTCTTCCCGGCACCCTCAAGGCACCTGGCCAGGTCAACAGGCACAGGCGAGACCTTTTAACGACGTGTCCAAGGTCGTCCGCAAACCGACTTTCGACGTCCATCCAACAATCAAGGCGGGGCTCCCACGCTTCCGGTCAATGGGCCGAAGTTGAGAATATTGCCCTTGTTGACGCTGATGAGGGCTTTACAATTGTCACAGGGGTCCCACAGGCTCCCCCAGATCCTCCCAGACAGTCGATCATCGTAGGCAGGAGCAGTGTGTAGGTAGCGGCTCCATAGCGCTAACCCATGCACTTTCGCTGCCTCTTCTTCGGTTTTACCCCTGTCATTTATTAGTAAAGGTTTCTGGGAATAGCAATAGCGGGGGATGGCACAAACATCAGAAGTTTGCGGACAGGATATGTCTCCGCACAACGGCCAAACGGCCTGCCCCACTTTCGGCCTCGAGCTCGGATGGTAGGAGTCCAAGCTTGTGACCAATTGGTCAGCTGCAGTAATGGAGACCTGATGATCCCATACCGAGCCCTGTCCAACACGGCAAGCCAGGATCCCATCCTGCTATCAGTCGCAAAACCGCCTCTAGAGGCTCCAAGATGGAACTCTCCGTCTTCGGTCCAACTGCACTGAAACACACTCGGGCAACTGAGTCTTTCTTGCCTGATCAGCTTTGAGCACCACTGTCCGTAGACAGCGGTCAGCGGCAGGTAGAAATTCCTCTTAGTTGCTGTTGTGGGAGCTCGACCTAAAGTGCTCATAAAGAGCCCCAAGAGGTCCGGAAGGGCCCAGTATTCCACCCCATCATACGTCGACTTTGTAAGCCGCAATCGCGACATGGCCGAGGGCCAGTTGGGATGACGGTTCCGGTCGATGTTCTGGGGTGGCGGTGGGACGAGGTAGTCAGTGCCATCGGGGCGGCTTTTCTCAAAGTTAGCTATCTCTGAATCTGCTTGCTTGACTAGCGGCATACCGGAGGCGGGTGATATCCGCATGTATCAACAGCAGGTTGGCGACATTCTGAGGGGGGACTCCGTATGCACCGGGGTTGCTGGTGATATCCGCTAAAAGCGCGATAATATCGCTCCAGCTCAAGGTGTACGCCTGTCGAAAATCAACACGGCCGTTCAGCCACGAAAGCAACTGTTCAGCCATAGTAAATTACTCCAGGATGATGCCGCCTACAATCCTCTACAAGGCTACGTTGGACAACAAATGCTGCGAACGATTTGAATTGCTCTCACTTCTCCGAAGTGGAAGGAACGTCTGTACTGGAAGGAACGGACGGGGCTTGCCCTTCAGCAACCATTTCCTCCTCCCAGGGCTCCTCATCCACAACCACCGGCCGAACCAACTTCTTCCTCAGACCCTTGTCCCCCTTCGTGGCAAGAACGCGCAGAATCTCCGGCCAGGTCCTGGGCCTGGTGATCTCGGCGATGTGATCAATCATCAGATCACCCCAGTAAAAACGGCCCTCCGATGTGATTATGTATCCCATATCCCCAGTATCGGGGGTCGTCATCAACAGAGGTTTGGGATCCTTTATCCCATGGCGTCGGGCCCGCTGGGCCTCTGCAGAGTCGTAGACGAAAAACCCTTCGAAGAGCGCGGGGTCGTTGGTCCAGCCTTTTGGGATGTCTTCGACCTAGATACCTATTGATTAGACGACTCAACGTTGTAGTATCTGGGTTGTGGACTATGGTTTACTGGTGTTTCCATGATGAGATCGAAGCCGTTCTTGAAGAGAGTAGAAACTGATGCAGACGCTGAGAAATTAGCTCTTGTCTAGATAACTAAGGTTAGGACGGGAGTTATCATACGAAAAACTATCTTAAACGTTGCTTTAAAGTGATTTCAGTTATTGTGTTGTTGTATTGATGAAAAGAAAGAGAAGTTTGTTACATATTCTGATTCTAGTGTGGTCAATCTAGTTGTGTCAGTAATAGGTAACGAGTGAATGCTGACAAAATCACTTGACGGGCCTAAATTTAGTAGGATTCCAAACTTAATATGGAAGCAGATAGTATGCCAAAGAAGCTTAGAAAAAACATTCACTTTCTTTAAAGCCGTCCCAGATTACAGAAAGGCGATGAGCATCCTTGTCAGTGTCCAGGTCGAATATCGCACAACTATCCAGCTATTGCCGTTCCCGGAGGTATACAGAGGTACCATCGCGCTTTCCGTGGAGGACATCGGCAATGTCGCCTGACATACCTCCTCAACGACACAGTTCCTTCTTCGACTGGGACCAAAAAAATACCTGCAAAAACATACGACAGCCGGGATTCGCTGGTGGTCACCCACCCAACTACTAACCGGCCGGCGTGTGGCTTAAGTACGGCTGAGCGGACGGGAAGCCCTGTTTTCCACACCCTATGGTCGTATGTGCTGGAATATGAAGCTTTGAAAATTATATCCGAAGATCACGGACGAGATATAGGAGCTGGCGTCGAAGTATGCTGTTGAATCTTAAGATCTACAATCTAGTGGAAGCACAGTAACCAAATCGGGAGACTGAAACCCTTGAGCAGATAGTTCCCCGTCTTCTTTCCTCTCCCTAGTCTTGAATTCTTGATACTTCCGTTGAAATGCACAGTGCCATGGCCATACCCTGTCGTTGGATTTTGGACTAACGCGTATAAGAGAAGATAGAAGGGGCCGGTCGTGACCTCAGCGTCATGGTTCGGAATCTTGACGCATCAACTGTACTGCACCATTCCAACCTACCACATCTGATCAATTGGGACGCCAGCTCTGGACGATCCAACCCCCTTCCGCTGCCTTTGCAAACCCAATCCGCGGTCCTGGCTCACCATGCCTCTCCTCAAACATATCCTCTACCTCGTTCACAGGTCTTGCCATGCGTACTTCAAACAGCGCCGCTACTAACGCAGGGATACTCAGACGCGCCTGTGCCTCTCCTGTATTGCCCCGAACCGCTATCAGAGCTACAGTGGCGAGTATAATGCCCAGCAACACAAGCAGCAGATTCGCGGCAACCAGGGCGAACAGTGGCGCTTTGGGAACGCGCGCAACAAGAATCTGTTCGCGCACTTGGGACGCCAAAGCGGCGCGCGGCTCGAATGCGCCTGACGCAACTCCCAAGGCGGTTTGACTATATGCTAGCGCAAACTGATCTGCGATGTCTTGTGCGGAGTTGCCCAGCCCTGCGATGCTAGCAGCCTGAATGAGGTTTGGGTTCCCGACGCCTGTGTGGCGCTGTGTGCCTTGCACGATAAGCGTCGTAGAACGGTTAGAGTTGCTAGACTTCCAGTTCTTAATGGTGCCGTTGACGGAAGAGTATTTGACGTCGTAGACGGTGGATGTGCAGCCCACTGCCACGATAGTAGCGCCGCCGTGTCCGCCGGACAGAACCTCCGGATCGTTCTGCAGAGCTGCCGGGCGTGCATTGCGCATATTCGCTAGGATCATGGCGGAGTAGTAATAGGGGTTGCCAATCAAGGTTTTATCCGTGTTATTGTTGGAGCCAGTTGAGTCTGTGAAGTAGGCCATGGTGACGGAGTTGGACGCGCCCACGGCTGTGTTGACGGTTCCTTGGAACGCAAATGGGCAGTTGTAGGTTGTGCCAACTCCAAAGACATCGTTGGGGCTCGCGCACTGGGAGGTCATGGGAGAACATTGCGAGTGTATAGCATATGTTGAGACGGTGTAGTCGAGAAGCGATAGGCGAGAGGTTTGCGGGCTCGCGATGTATGCGTACTGATCCCGACCCACAGAGTAAATTTGGATTGTCATCGTATCTGAAATGTTGGAGAGCACTTTCATCGGGTCGGGGTTAAGTAGGACATCGCCCGAGGCAGGGTTGTTGAGGTTACAGCTAAGGAGAGTGCTGTCTACGTTTGTGCAATTCTGGTACAGGCCGAACCCAAGACCCGAGGCGTCGGAGTTTGCCTTCACTTGGATGAAGTTGACGGTTTTGGTAGTGAAGTGAAGCCAGGTGTCGGTGACTAGGACAACAGTGCTATTTCCTTGTTAATCTAGCAACTCGGTAGTATTTCTAGAGACTGAAAAAACACGCACCTTAAGACAATGCCGAGGATCAATACGGTCGTCAGACTTTTTATCGCTCTCACCTGGCGCTCGCGCCTTCCTCTCCAGCCAAAAGAATACATCAACCAGCTCCAAAGGGCAGAGAATGAGCCGCTCGAAATCATGCGGACAATCAATGAGAGCTGAAAAGGTGTTGGCAGCTGCGCCACCTTATGATTTTCCGAGGCCGTCAACAGACCCTTCGCAACGGGGTAGGACACCAGAGCGACACCGAAGCCAACTAATATTGGAGCGATAGTGCTAGACCACGAGGCAACAGTGGTGAATGTGGTTGCACTTATTCGGACAAAATAGACGCTTGGATCATTCTGGTTGGAGTCAAATGCTAGATCACCAGAGGTAAAGTCGTTCTGTATGATGCGATAATGGAAGACCAAGCCGAGCAGAAGGCCTGAGAAGATTAACATTGGCAATGTCATAACAGCGAACGCGATGAGAATCTCCTGGATGCGCCCCTGCATCTTCTTGGCCCCTCCATCGGGAGCTGGAGGTACAGTTGAGTATACTCCGCTCTTGTCCATATCTTCAGAGGTGGCCATCTTGGTGTGAGGAGGAAGTATGAAGTCTAACTATCGCAGTTCAAGACACCATTTGATGGCAATTAGGGGTATTTGTGTAAAGTGATTGCCAAGAGTGCGGCTGAGGAAAACAAGGTGCTCGCCAAATGTTGTCGTGATAGGAAACGCCCCCCTAGACGCCACCAGAGCCTAGCCCATAGAGACCCCCGTCTCAACACTCTCCAAATGATGCATTGCCTTCAGGATTACAGGACCCTGCAGATCACGAGATGGCCTGACTGCGTGACCATGATAAGGTTTCTTTTGGTTTGAGGTACCTTATTGGTGGTAGGCAGACTGCCAGGGGAGGTGCGGATAAGCGATTGGCTCTGATGATTTGCAAAGAAGTTCTTGAAGGGCTGAAATATGTTCATACAATTCTCAAATCACATATGGATTGCTGGAGTTCAGCAATATTCTTATTACTCGGCAAGGCGAAGTCAAACTCAGTATGTCCTCTACGGGTATATTCAATCACATGTCATCGCTCGTAGCAAATATTGGCAAATCTTTACCATTGGAGCACCCGCTGGGGAGGATTTCGAAGGATCCGAAAGATGTTGGTTCGATTGTAGTGCTCTTAAAGACGACCAAGTCGCCAGTATCTAGTTCAGCCCTTTAAGAAGTTCAGGAAAAAGAAGCTCATCATACTGCCACAACGTGGTCTGGAAGTTGACCGAGAAAGCACCGCCGGTCCACCAGGTCGACCGTCCTCCCTGCAGCGCGTACAGCTCCTGGTAGAACCCGTCTTTCAAGTCCGCAACCGAAACACGGGCATGCATGGGACCGTGTGTAGAAAACTCGACCCAGCTCACCTGCTCCCCTTCCTTAGCGTCTAACTGACCGGCTTTGCGGAGGGTATCAAAGTCGTTTTGCACCAGTTGTTTGGCGCCGGCAGCGTCGAGTGTCTCCTCACCGATGATCGTCACCCTGAACAAGTTATCGCCGCCAAGGTAGTCGATACGAGCCGTGAATGAGGGATCCGGCAGAGCAAGATAGTTGTCGGGCGCTGCAGAGGCAGGGAGGTTGAAGTAGGAGTAGTTGGTCGCAAAGGCAGAATTGTTCACCAAACTGGTGTATTCATTAGTGTAAGTAAATTTGGACAAGACCGTACGCTCGTTATCGTCCAAGTCGAAGGGCGCCATGTTGTCTTTGGTCGGCTCGATGGCGAGGAGGAGCCTGCGGGCTGTGATCATGGTGATCAGGCCTGTTTTGCTGTTCTTCACGGTGAGAAAGACGCCATATGGGGTACGCCAGCTGTCAACGACTGTGCTCGAATACAGGACGTCATCCCCGAGATGCTCGGCTATGGCATCATACAGGTCCTGGTTGCGACCGGACGCAGGGACAAACATTCCTTGCTTGCCGAGCATCACTCGAGCCATGGAGGCACCGAACGATTGTAGAACAAACATGGTGGTTTCCTGCGTCATGTTACCGAGTCCCAGGCCGGTACTCCCATAGATCAGAGGGACAGCATCTTCGATTCCATGCTTGGTAATAAAATCACCAAACGAAATAAGAAGATCTTCAGGAATCGCATCTGGCTTGGGAAAGTTGTAGTAGCCGGGCTGCATAAGGTGTTCCCACGGCTCCACCACCTCAAGGAATTTGGCCATGGCCGCAAACTGGTCCGTCGCAGAGGGCAGCTGGAAGTCGACGACACTTCCGGTTCGAAAGTCAATGTACTCGGTTGTGACCGTGGGGTTGGTGGAGTTGCCCATCGCAATGCCAAACCGGTCAAAGAAGCCTGTCGCGTTGCCAGCGTCTATGAAAATCTTGACCCCGTAGTCGAGGGGGGCGCCGGTCTTGGGGTCGACATAAGAGTCGACCATCCCACCCTGTCCGCAGTCAATAACTGTTGTCCATTTACTGGCATTACTGCAGGCGGTGATCGTTTCTTACAAGGATGCTCTGCTTCTCAATGAGAGCAACACTCTTGCCAAAATCATCGCGAAGTCGGACCGCAGCGTAGGCACCTGAAGCACCGCCACCGACAATTACAACATCTTTGAAGAGGATATTTGGTAACAGACTAGCCGTGGCCAGGGACGCGGCTGCGGCCAGGCCGAGGACAGGAGATGCAAGTGATAGCATCGTGGGAGGTTTGGATGAATGCTATCTTCAGAAGTAGATAATAATCTCAAGCATCGAGGGGTTGCATATGCTTTATAAATCTGCAGCTGGCCCGGTGGGCTTGTATTCTTCGGCATGGTATAAGTCTCCATTAACCTCGTCCAACCACTTGGACCACACCATGACTCGAAGAGCACGGATATTTCCGCAGTAACCCTACATTGATCGATTTTGTTGGCCTGGAGGGAATTAATTGGCCGACAGCGTAAATTCAAGTGACAATACTCCGCGTATTAGCCTTATTAGCCTGTATAATCCCTGTTCATGAAGTGCCAAGTCTGTGCTAGAGACGGACTAGAACCGGATGCGGAACTCATCCCCTTCGTCTAATGCAATCAAAGCATTGTGCTGACTGGCTGAGTTTTACACTGACTAGCTGAGTTCACTTTTGAAGGGATACTGGAGTCAGGGACTTCGGGGCACTACAGTAGGTGACATTCTGATATATCCTGGCTATCAGGGAGATGTCAACTCAACCTCGCCCCACCTCTCTGCCCTTTGTGGTGTTCTGAAAGGTATCTGCGGGGCAGCAGAGGCCAGGGTAGTGACGCTTTTGATGCCATGATCGGAGGATTAGTGTTGATATTCCGTAGATGAAATATTCTGATACTAGGGTTAGCTGATCTCCATTCTACAGAGGTACGCATATATATATATATATATATATATGTATGTGTACACTGCTCAAAGATTGCATGAGATCACAGTACATAAATGATTATTATAATAGAGGAGATGAAGGAATGAAAATCAACTAAGGTGGTTATAGTAAGACGACAGCACGTCCTCATCTCCTGACATTGCAGAACTAATAGCCTTAGGCCCCATGTACTGATCCATCAATATGCGACACTGATTCCCCACCGATTGTCCTTGCCAGTAAGCTTATCTGTAGTCGAACCAATGGCAGCCAATCACAACACACTGCGCATCTCGGCGATCCGCTTGTAGTCACGTGCCAAGTGCCACCTGTTCTTGGCTCTTTCGCTGATCGGGGTCTATCCTGGAATTGCTCAAGTACGTTCAAGATAATTGATTTGTCATTTCTGAGGTGGAATAAGCGGGAAACAGGTCTACCCTTTATTGATGATCGAAAGAAATCCCGCCATCTCTCGGATCCGACCTGCATACAAAATGTCGACGATCCATGGACGGTCTCTTGCTCCGCTTGTCACGCCTAAGACTTCCACCCAATCAGACTGCATTTATTTTGAACAAGCCCCAATGATCTGTTGCCACGGGCCCGCCGAGGCCTTCCAAGCAGCCAATCAAACCACTGCATCTAATACGGGGCAACTGCCGGACCACTGTCAATGCTCAAACTTGTCCTCTGCTGATCACCGAGAATTCTGACCTTCGGCCGGGCACTTTGGTTTGTGTTCGGATCCGACAAAATATGATTATATTTGCAGTTTCTGGCTGAAAAAGTCCAGCGTTTTCTTCCCAAGCCCATCGCATCATGCCGCGCCGCATCCTGATCGTTGGTGGTGGAATCGCCGGTCTCACGGCCAGCATCGCTCTGGCGAAGGAGCTCACACAAGTTGAGCCAGATCTGGACATTGCTGTCTACGACAGTCGAACTGAACATTTGATGGGAGATGGAGGGGCCATCAGTCTCACCCCGATCGCTCAGCACCATCTGGATCAGCTAGGCGTCCTGCCCGAGCTCTCTCAGATGGGAGAAGACACAGGGATTGAAGTGGATGAAATCAATATCTACTCTCTCCGCTCCGGGCGATCGCTGGGTCCCTTGCGATTTGCGGACGAGACCGGACGCGGTTATGGGGGCTATAAGAGCCGCCGAGTGCTGCGGAGTGCCCTCTTTCGCGCCATGCTGGCCGTGGCGCGCCAGTACGCGCAAATTTCAGTGGAGTTTGACAAGAAATTATCCAGCACCAGCACAACAGGAAAGGGAGTGACACTCCAATTCGATGATGGGACGACGACCACGGGAGATCTACTGCTGGGATGTGATGGCGTCCACTCAGCAGTCCGCACGCAGCTGGTCGATCCCGGCAACCAGTCAGAATATACGGGGATCTCCTTCATCCAGAGCCTGGCTCCGGCTGAGCGGGTATCGCTACCATCTCATTTCGACGAATCGGCCATTCATCTGACTCGGCAAGGATCGCTGCTGGCCAGCTACTGCGACCCCAGTCATCAGACCATGTTTGTTGCCGCGATCATGCGTGTGAATGAACACATTATCGAGCGGTACCGAGCGCTGGCCTATACAGACACTAATATCGCGGCTCTGGCGTCAGCGCAGATGGCCATTCGCTATCAGGTGCGTAGCAAATTCGGCATGACGGCCTTTCCGTGGATCCGGGAGTGGATTGAGGAGACGCGTGATTGGGAGTTGTATCCCGTCTATCAGGTACGCCAACGGGGGAAATGGCATGTCGACCGGGCTCTGCTGCTCGGGGATGCCGCACACGCAGTACGTATGAGTAAGCTTTTCACGGTCAGGATGGCACAGCTAAACCATGAACGCAGATGCCACCACGCGAGGAATCCGCCGCGTACGCCATCGAAGATGCGGTCATATTCGCGCAGATCTTTGCTCAGCGGCGTGAACGTCCTCTCCACCGGATATTTGTAGAATATGAGAACGCGCGACGAGGGCTGCTCGATAAAGCTTTTGATGCCTCGCGCCGGCTGTGGCAAAGCGACCTGGACAAGGGACTCTTTCCCGGCATTACCGTGACTGCATGTCGTCTATCCAGCTGCCACCAAACCCCTTAGTAAAGGAAAAAGCCGACGGCCCGATGACAGAACCAATCTTCCCGCCGCCGACGCACGAAAGCATGTCCGATCTGTCTGTGTATACATTGACAAGCGAACTAGAGAGGGTTCTCGATGCGGATGAGGGGAGGACAAAGGCCCCTTTGTGATTATGGAGCCATTCTATGGGATGTTACAGCAGGAGCACGGCGTTTGACGACTCATGATTGATTGTGGTTTGGGTTTGGTTATGGCAACGGAAACATGAATTATGCATGGTCTTCTATAGATACGGGATACCTTATGAATTTGGTGCAATGCTCACGACGTTTATGACATAGCTCCAGAGATGATCAGTATCGACTCGATTTCCATAGTCTAATGTGTTCTGCAGGGGACTGACACGGGCTGGAAGGTCAGCCCCCGAGATCATCGTCGTCACCAGCCGATGAGGACCAGCGAGATTGAACGGAGGAGTCGGAGAGGACTGTACCTCAACAGACAGCAAGCGAAGATGATCACGTACTTGTATCAACAGGCTGCTCTCCGACCACAGGAGGGGTAAATAGTACCAGTAGTTCACTGCACCACTGACACGTACATATAGAACCATTTCATCCTGGCTCGTAGCTTTTCTGAAGAAAAGAAAAGTCCTTCGGCTCTAACGAGGTCCAACTCGTGTCGGTCAGGGCATGGCTAGCGGCGATATTTTTAGTAGTTATCTGTGGGGTCTGAATTAAGGTGTGGCTAAAGGCAATAACCGTTAAACCATGGATCAGCATCGGGATATCGTCCTCTACAGCCCAGGTTCGGCGGTCTTTATTATACTTGAACAATTCGCCAATACCAGGATATCAACTCCTACTTCACGAAACCGGATTCGACGAGCCGGAAGTGGCACGGGTCCTGGACGCAAATGCAATGGCAGCTTGTGCCTGAGATTCCACTGTTTATCTACAAGTCCGCCAACGAAGTGGTGAGTCCGGTCAATGACACGGATGCTTTGCTCTCTTCTACTGTGACCAGGCGCGGGAGTGGAATATTTGCGGAATGAATTGTCAGCTCATGCGACAATCGCGTTGACCAGTGTCCCGGATGTGCTGTTCTGGTTGCAGCATCGCATGGATGGGGTTCTTTTTGATGCCGGCTGCAGGACGAAAACTGTCCTCACAGGACTGACGGATCCGAGAGTAATACTCGGCTGGGTACTAATGTGATACAGATTCTGCTGGCCGTGTTGTCCGAACGGCAACTGAATGATTTATAGTTATCATGTTCAAGGTTGCATGCCAAGGAACAGTATATTCTGAACATGGTAACAGGTTCAATTCATGCCCTCAAAGTCTCCTCGACATGGACATTCTGCGCCTTGTCCTCATGACCCTGACCAAGCTGCTTGTGAACAGCGGCAGCCACTTCATTTGCCTTTTCCTTGCCCTCGAACACTATATCCGTTAGTTGTGTTTCAAGACCTCAGAGCTGAAACTTACTGAAAGATAACTCCTCGAGAGTTCTGCCCGACGTCTCGGGGAAGAACATATAGATAAACACCAACTCGAAAGCCAACCAGCAGCCACTTCCAGCTAATATTCTTCAGGCCGACTGGGTTCACATAGGTTGCAAAGAAGCTCGCGCCTCGTCCGTAGAACTGGAACCACGAGATACCTCTGGAGCGACCAAAGTAGGGGAAAATTTCAACCAGGTAGGCTGACCAGTCAGCAGATATCATCTTCAAAAAGGGAAGACTTACTATATGTCAACGCGTTATAGCCGAGGTTATACGCCGGCGAATAGCAGAAAATGAAGAAAATGGTCAGGATGGCGGCGTCCTTGGTGTGGGTACTCATGAAGCGTTCCATGGAGATGGTCCAGGCGACATACACACAGAGCAACGAACAGGCACAGGTTAGGTACATTGTGCGTCGCTTGAATCGAGCAACGGTCAGCGCCAGCGTCGTGCCACAGAGAAGACCCCAGCATGCAATGCCGATGTTGATCTTCGACTTGACTACTCCGTCGGTGATGTCGACCATTTCCAGGAGGTCACTCAAGTAGTATCTGGACGTCGTTAGTACATCACACCATGAGACGAAGGGCAGACATACGAGATCAAAGTATTGCCCGACCACTGGGTGAACAATCCCAAAAAGGCCGAAATGAGCAATCGACGGCGCATACCGGCGGTTCGGAACATATCCCACCACGTCTGCTTAGACCCTTCGAGTTCGAGCTTGATGGTGCGTTGGATCTGGGCGATTTCGGCTCGCACGATGACCGAGCTGCGATCTCCCTCGGCGTGGTATTTGGTCAGGATGTCAAAGGCCTCCTCGTGGCGATCTTTACTGATCAGATACCGAGGGCTTTCGGGAAGGAGGCTGCGCACTGTCAGTTGTGCCAGAGACAGTAAGGTACAACCTACAGGATAAAGGCAATCTGCACCATCGCCGGTGCAATCTGAAGGAGCGACGGAATTCTCCAGGCCCAGTCGGTTTTGATGGTCACCGTTCCAACGCCGACGGCAGCAGCGATGATCTGGCCGATAAAGTACGAAGAATTGAACAGCGAGGTCAGAATGGGTCGTTCCTTGGGGTATCCCAATATTTGCGGTTACAGTTGGTTTAAAGAGTGAAAAGATCATCACATGCCCCACGTTTACCCCGGATTTAACACGGTAATGGCCATAATGGGTAATGGAGGTGGCTCGATTCAGGAATTGATTGACCCTCCACACTGCTCAGCCTGGACTTTGGATAAATGCATCCTCTTTACCCGGTGCCAAGCATCACTTCTCTCCCTTCGCCGAGGTTGGAGTCAGACTGAGAAGAGTGCAGACGATTGCGATGATGCTATCTATACACCACTCCAGTATCTCGTCTGGCCCACCCTAAACTCTCCTCGGGAAACAATCTCCTGACTCGAAGTCCCAATCAGCACCTGATAGACGCCCTCTTCGCTCTTCCACATATCCTCGATCTCGTCCCACAAGCTGGTCGCGTATTTGTCAATGGGGATACCCACTGTTATCTGCTCTCCAGGCTGTAGGAACACCTTGGTGAATCCGTGCAGTTCCTTAACAGGGCGTGGAGTTGCTGAATGGGGCGCGGCAATGTAAAGCTGTAGGATCTGCGCTCCTGCCACTGGACCGGTATTCTTGACTATGACTCTGGCAGTGGGTGGACTGTCCGATGAGAAGACAGTCGGAGATACGGTCGCCTCAGGAGAGACACTGAAGGTCGTGTATGATAAACCATATCTGCAGTTGTGAGCATGCGTCTAGTGAATAAGAGGATCAACCTACCCAAACGGAAACAAGACCTCGCGGCCAACCTTCTCGTAGAATCGATATCCCATATACACATCCTCGCCATAGAGCACTCGACCCCCCACGCTCATATAGTTCAGATACGCGGGATTGTGCCTCACATCCACCGGCCAGGAAAGAGGCAATTTCCCACACGGGTTGACATCTCCAAATAGGACATCGGCAATGCCATGGCCGGTCTCATTGCCTCCATACCATGCCTGCACAATTGCTCTGGCTCGATCCGCCCATGGCATGGTAACAGGAGTTCCGGATTGGTTAACGATGACCGTCCTGTCAACCGCCACATCAAGCACAGACGAAATCAGCGCGTCAATGCCCGGAGGAAGGTCCATGTCCGGACGGTCGAATCCTTCCGACTCCCAGTCTCGGTTGAGCCCCGTACACACAATTGTATAATCCGCCTCGGCCGCAACTTTAACCGCATTGGCAACCATCTGCTCTGGATCCATGTGTAGACAGGCACCGAGATGGGCGGCGCCACCGCCAAAGTGGACCACGCCGATAGCTTTCATAGGACTGGTGTTGGCAGAGCCGAACTCGATTCGAATCCTATACGTTTGTCCGGCAATGAGCTGCTTCGACCCAACCTCCTGCACCGTTCCCTTGCCGAAAAAGGCCGTTCCGCGAGTTTGGCGGGTGGTGTTGTCGATGACCATCTCATCATCAATGAAAAGCGTGGCCGTACCGAACACAGTGAGACCAAAGTCCCACAGTCCAGAGACATCTGGTGTGAACTCTCCGATTAGGGTACCCCAGAACAGACCTCTGTTGAGACCGGGGGCGCTGTAGTCCATCAACTGAAACGCCGTGTTACCCACCGGTTCTGTCGCCAGTAGTGTGCGTTCTTTCTTTTCCGGCGGCTCATTGTAGAAGTGGATGACGGCATTGCTGAGCATTCGATCAACGACAGGAAGCATCTTGTGGGCATATGCGCCGGCTTCATAGAGAATCTCGGCATCAGGAAGGGCTTCGACGACTGCGTCGTATAAAGAGACGGCATAGTATGGTTCAAGAGAAGCACTACCGCCGCCTGAAATAGCGGGAGTCTTCACATGAGACCCGATCAGCGCGATCTTCTTGATTGTTTTGGGAAATGGCAACAGATTGTCCTCGTTTTTCAGTAGAACGATACTATTCGTACACAGCGTGCGGTTCAACGCCCGGTCTTCTGGCAGGTCACGGCCGGTCTCCTCCGCCGACACAGGAGCGCGGCTGGCGCGTTCGACAAATTTCAGCACCTTGCGAGCACGCTTGTTGATCGTCGACTATTTGATTAATCGCGCCTGCATGGCAGATTCGATATACCTTCCGCGATATCGCGTCGGACCCGGCATCTCGAGATCGAGACCGGCATTCATCGAGTCGATGGTGGTATATGTTCCTAACCAATCGCTCATGATCAAGGGATCCCAGTTCCAGTCTTTGCGGACAATATCCAACATGGCGGGACTCTCGACGACATGCTTTCCGTTGATTTTGTTGTACGATGTCATCAAGGCTCCGGGCTGGGCGTCTCGAGCAACAACCTGGAAGGGACGCAGGTAGATCTCCCGTAGTGCTCGAGGAGTGACCAGCACATCGACGGCGCGGCGCTCATGTTCCTGATCATTTCCGACGTAGTGCTTGACTGTGGAGATGACCCCTGTACTCTCGCAGCCCAGGATGATCGACTTGGTCATAATCCCCGAGAGATGGGGATCTTCCGCGAACGATTCAAACCCGCGTCCTCCCAGGGGCGACCTCTGCATGTTGATCGTAGGTCCCAGCCAGCAATGCGCTCCTTTGGCGAGACATTCTTTGCCAAGCAGGACACCAGCTTGATGCAGCAGATCGCAATCCCACGTGGCGCCTAGGGCCGTGCCACAGGGGAGACATGCAGCGGGTACGCCGACAAAGAACTTGGTGCCGCGGATACCATTGGGGCCGTCAGTGGTACGAATTGAAGGCACATTGAACTGGGGGATGGAATGAGTGTGCCAAAAGTCACTTCCTATTAGTCTTTAGCGATGCTCTAGCTAGTAGTTGGGTCAATAATAGGTACCGGAGAGAAGAGCGATCTTGTCGTCCTCGCTGATATTGGCTAAAACATAGTCGACGTCGAATTTGGGCGTCATCTTCGGTTGGTCGTCATGGATTGTTGAGTTTGGCATGATCTCAGACAAGCACAGCTACGGTAGACATAAAAGTATGGTATGTTTAAACAAGCAACGATCTTCACGGCCCTCGAGCCGAATTCCCGATCGGCTGCGGGACCAAATCCTTCAACAATATCCTCAAGGACTTGGCAATCCCACGCAATGCGGGTTTATCAGATTGGAAGAGGGACTCGTGTCTCAGAGATGACTTGTTGTATCGGTTAGATTAATCTCACCACTGACAGTTGCAGGACTGCTCAGAAGCTGACATTCTGCCAAGCTGGATTGCTGACATGAGATCTTAGCCTGGTCGACTCAAGAAGAGTGTTTACTGACTGATTTCGCTGCTCCGCCGTCATTGCCCAAACACCACCATGACTGCTACTACTACTAGGTCACTGCAACCGGTACTTACTGACCAAGGCAGAGTGTCTTTTATGCAGCTGTCCGGCCTTCCTTGGGCGTTGCCCTCTCGCTAGTCAATGAAGTACTGGACAACCCATCCTAGCACTCCTGCCCCAGGTCGTACAAGTGAACAAGAATATCTTGTAATGCTAGGAGATGCTTGCTGTGCGAAAAGCATTGGTTGCCGTACAATGCCTTGCGAACCGAGAGTTGCCATTACGTTCAGGGAGTGAAGTGCGAGCCACCAGAACATAGCACGATTTGTGGCAAGGATCTCCAGGAGTATTACGAGCTCTTAATTAAGGGCGGTGTCATCGCTGCCCAGTAGCGAATGCAACCTACTCGTGAGTCTGATTCGGCTTTTTGGGTACAAGTTCCACTGATCAGTTGTAGAATGTAACATATCACCAAGTATCAAAAACTGGGGAAACAGCCACCATCACACGGATGCAATTAGTGCTTACGCTGGGGCATCTCAATGTAGACTCAACCGTCAATCGATACGAGTCACGACTTATTTAATGAACACTTGCAAGGAGGGTGTAAAGTCCCATTGCCGACTTCACTGTCACTCCCCGAGGTCACGTCAGTCCGCACTCAGGCAGAGTTGCTCAGCATTCGTTGTTCATGATAGAAGCGTCAGAAACATTACTCGGAATTTTATACTGAGGCTGAGACATGGCTGATATGTCTGCTGATGATTGTTGACAACCCCGCAGTGTCCTGTTTGCATGATTGGACGCAAATACGGTGTAGCATTCTGAATACCGAGTTCCCAGCTGGGTAGAGCACTAGTGAACACTCGGACCCCTGCCTAATTTGGGAATTGATTCTTCAAGAGTCCAGAAATCCGTCATGGCATCCATGAGATTGCAGTGATCCAGGTTAGTGTGGCACTGGCATGGCACTCTTTTCCTAGTTGGTAGACTCCGTACCCCAGAATCCGATGCGATTCTTCAGAGCCGAGGAGCCGGTTTCATTTCCGGAAGTAGAGAATATTTCTGCTATATTTACAGCGTATTGCCAGTATCCAACAAGAAGTGCCATTGGCTCCTCTTACTGATTAAAGGCTACGTGGTGGTCATTCCGTGGTTCCCTCGTAAGACAACCCAAGTTACCCATCCAATAAGGCCCCCATATATTACCCAAGTCAGATGGTCTGACCTCGCCATTGCTTGCTGATAGGCTCGTCCTTCCCTAGGACTGAGTCAAGCGGTGTTCATGGGTTGATCGCTATGCGCCCGACTTCTCCGTGGCAGAAGAATTAATAGAGCCCTTCGGGGACTGCCCACGTTCTTTCGAACCTCCACAGTTGAAATCATGTCCAGCGATGATATCGAGAAATGTGTCATCCTCGATGCAAAAGGATGGCGACCACGGCCACCGCTAAGACGCAGGCGTCGGGCTCTCGCATTGCAATTGCTGATGATATTGATTGGTCTGTGTATATGTTACGACTTTGTCCTTGGGCCCGTGAGCCTTACATCACCGCATAAGGCCAGCGACGGTGGGATTCATGCTCAAAACTCGCCGCTGACAGAGAGACTGGACTGTGTGGAAGAGACAGACGCGTCTATAAACCCCGAAGCGACGGTGCTTGAGTCTCCGGAGCCAGAGTTACAGCCCAAAGATACTGTAATCGTCGCTGATGCCTTACTTGACGAAAAGCCAACTGCGCAAAAGACAGACTATGTACCAGCGCCTCGAATTGACTTGAGCATGTCGCTCGATCGAATGATTGCCCTCCTCCCGGACGAAATGCGCATTCAAAGCCTCCTACGGCCTCTCGAGGCGACCGGCGGGGAGCGACTGCGTGATCTGGGCCTGCGAACACGCGATTTCTGGGCTTTGTTCGAGGCGTGGGAAACCGTGCATCTGGTGCCAGCCGACGATGGCCTGTACATCCGCGACGACGTTATCCAGTACCTGCGACGACATCCTGAGATGGCAGAGAGCATGGTGAGGAACACAACGGACATTATCCGCTCCTATGAGTCATATCGCTCGCTCATTACCCGACTGTCAACGCTGCTCTTTCCGTGGACTGCGCCGCATTTCCCGGACCATATTCATCTCCATGCACAGATCCATAGCGGCGGCCGGGGGCTGGTCTTTTCGGCCGGAGACAACCAAGCACCTTTTCTGCTCGCTTCGATTCCAGCTATCCGCCAGTTGGGATGCGACCTGCCGATCGAAGTCATGTATCTGGGCGACCACGACCTGAGCCAGGATATGCGTGAGAAGTTGGAAGCGCTACCCGGTGTTACCACACGAGATCTGAGACAGATGGTGGACGACAATGGGTGGAAATTGGCTGGATGGGCCGGGAAACCGTTTGCGATTCTATTTTCGAGTTTTCGGGAAGCGATCTTCATCGATGCCGATTCGCTTTTCCTGCAGAACCCGGAGATGTTGTTTGAAGACGAGGCCTATCGAAAGACTGGGGCCTTGTTCTTCAAAGACCGCCTCATGATGCCCGAGTCTAAGAAACGATGGCTCCAAGAGATCCTCCCAGGACCAGTGTCCAACAAGGTCATGGGGAGTCGATTCTGGACGGGCCAGAGTGGCCATATGCAGGAATCAGGCGTGGTTGTTGTGGACAAATGGCGACATTTTATCGCGCTGCTTCTGGTGACGCGGATGAATGGGCCTGACCGGGACGGCGACAAGTCGAAGCACAAGACGGGCGTGTATGATATGGTTTACGGTCCGTCCTGCCTCTTTGCTGTGCACGACTTTGGACTTGAACTAACGGCGCAGATAAAACAGGCGACAAAGAGACCTTTTGGCTGGGATGGGAGCTGATCGGGGACCTGGACTATGCGTTCCATGACGGAGATGCAGGAGTGATGGGCACTCTGGAGAAGACGCCAACGGTCAAAGGTCAAGCGGCACAAGCAGCACTGGCAAAGACCAACGCTACGGACGAGGCAACGACGACTGCCCCAGAGATGTACACCATCTGTGCTCCCCAGCTACTTCATCTTGACCGCAGTGGTCGACCTTTGTGGTTCAACGGCTGGCTTCTCCCAAATAAGTTCGACAAAGGCAAGAATCGAGAACCGAGTCGATTCGAGGCCTTCTTAAGGGAACCCCGAGAGATTCGCGACCCGGGCGCCTGGCAGTTGCGGGGGAATAACATCTGCTGCCTCACCTCGGAACATAAGGGAGAGTTCCGTCGGGATGAGAGACAGGCTCTTGATATGATCATTGAGTCAGGACGGCGTGCCGGTGTGTTGGGGACCAAGGTCTAACACGTTAGCAGTCAAGCCAAGTCATTGTAAATATTTGGGCTTTTGGGATGTATATACTTGTAACTAATAATGGAGATAACTAACGAAGAAGAAGAAGAAGCTGATGATACTGATGAAGACATCCCAGAACTCCGACTGCACATGTATCAACCAGCGAGATGTCTGCCGCCCTTTTTGGAAAGATCCAGGTCCTGTTGAGCCAACCAGCATGGCCTTTTGCTAGTTGATACTTAAGGTGCCTAGGGTGGCCATACTAGATTTTGATATCATTGGGCGTATATATATTAGATAGGGAGTGTGTAGAATGAGCAGAGAGAGGTTCAGAATATGAAGATATTTTGTTAATTTGTTATATGTAAATCTATGTTTACTATTATACAGTGGAAGGAGCTATCTACTAAGCAAGATCATATGATCAGATCTCTGCTATACTGAGTATGGCCATATACCCCTAGATTTAATTAATAAGGTTATAGCTGTCACGGGCTAGAAGCCTTATAAATCTATGACCTAGATTTGGATGGTAAGAAATCGCTGAAGAGTTCTAACTAGGGCTGTAACGGCTGAACATAAAAAGGAGTGTGTAAATAGTGGATGAGATTATATAACTAGATTAATTACTATATTAATTACTATAAGGGTTATATAACTACTAGTATTCTTACTAGATAAGAGTTTATTAGTACCTAAAATAGATTATAAGTACCTAGTAGGCTTAAGTACTTAGCAGGCTCTATCTACTATACTATCTCTCTCCCCTTCTAAAGAAGGTTAGTAGCTCTCCTATATATTAAGTACTACTATATTAGTAAGGTTAATAGCTAGTTCTTATATAGGCTATTTATAGCCTACCTATTTAATAAGATACTCTTTATAATAGCCTTAGCTAATCTATTTCTTATATTCTTATAAGATCTCCTTAACTATATACTCTAATTTACTATCTACTAAGGTTACTAATAGTTAATAATTACTATTTAACTAGCTTAGGAATGGATTGCTAGCAGTAAGGTATAGTAGACTAATATAGAATATATTATATATATCTAGTAGTATATCTAATTAGTAAGTATATAATCTAATAGCTTTAAGTACTATAAACTTTATATACTATATATTAAGCTTCTAGCTTAGGTAATCTATTTAAATATTCTATAGGTTTAACTATACTTTTAATTTTATAGTAT